CCTGGGATGCAAAGGTCCTGAGTCCCAGGTAGAAAAACAAAAAGCCTTGCAATCAGGGACTGAGAAGGAGGAAGAGAGAAATGTGCTTCTCCCCCTGTAGGGGCTACATAGAAAGACAGGTGTGGACCCCAAAGCCTCCATGAAGGACTCCACTGGGGACGCTGGTGGCTGCCAGGCCGCAAGTCCCAGATGGTCCCTGTAGGACAGAGCTAGGAGGCTGAAATGTCCAGATGTCAGGAAACATTGGTAGAAGCAGCAGCCTGGGACTCTGAACAACTCTAGACCTCAATGGCAGCCTCTTCTCACAGCCCGACCCTCATTCCCGGGATGTCAGGGGAGCTCCGTCCCCCACCCACACACCCACCCATTCCTCTCTCAGGCTGCAGGCCCGGGAAAGCTTCTAGCCCCTGCTCAGCACAATGCACCTGATCCAGGTGAGTCAAGGAGGGGGAGGATGTGTACCGACAGACAGCCAATTACAGCTTCCATGGCCGGGCCTGGAGCCACAACTCTGCTCCACTAGGACAGGCAGAGGCCACAACGGGGTTGTGGGGCAGTGGCAAATCCAGGCAGGAAAAGTAAAGAACTCCAGACGGGGCCAGAGTCCAGAGGCTCTGTGCTCTGAGGGGGGAGGCAGGCAGGCGTCCAGGAGAAACACAGGAAGCCAATGATACACCCACCGGCTCACGTTCCCCTCCCTGGCTCAGAACCAGTCCTTTGGTCCAGATTTCCTCAGTGAGAGCCAGGGGCTTATTAAGTGCAAGGGTCTCAAAGTCTTCCAGGACAGGTGAACTCTACAGCCTTTGGCCGATGGGCGGGCGGTCAAAGGGACTGAATTCCAGACTTGGTACTTACTAGCTGGATGAGGCCTGAAGTGAAGCCTCTGTTTTCTCACCTGCAAAATGGGTGTGACCAACGTTGCCCATCTCCCGAGGCTCCCAGAGTTGGAGTGATCGGGTAATATGCCCCCAAATGCTCAGGCCAGCATCGGGTCACTCAACTACTCTGAGCTTTCCCTGGCCTCTGGCCTCTGGCCTCTGGCCTGGCTCCTATCAGCTGCCGGGTAATATGCCCCCAAATGCTCAGGCCAGCATCGGGTCACTCAACTACTCTGAGCTTTCCCTGGCCTCTGGCCTCTGGCCTCTGGCCTCTGGCCTGGCTCCTATCAGCTGCCGGGTAATATGCCCCCAAATGCTCAGGCCAGCATCAGGTCACTCAACTACTCTGAGCTTTCCCTGGCCTCTGGCCTCTGGCCTCTGGCCTGGCTCCTATCAGCTGCCAGAATCAGAATCTAGCCTGAGACATTCTTTTGCTGGTTTGTTTGTTTGCGTCTCGTTTCCATGGAGACCCTGGAAGTCGCCTTTCAGCTCTGGGGACCTATCATCTCACCGTCCTTCATTAGACCTTCATTTGAGATGTCAACGTTGTCATCATTTCCCCTCACCCCACCTGCCCAGGAGTGTGCTGAGAATGAAGCTGGGTTTGGGGGGCGGCAGGCAAGAGACCCTGGTGGTCCCCAGCCTCTATTCCCAAATGCCCACAGCCATCTGTGTGTGACCCTGGACCCAGCACCTCCTTCCCTGGGGAGTGGCAGGGTCTCCTTCCTAGAGACCTGGGCTCTCCGGTCACACCGTGCTCCCCTGGGAAACCCAGCTGCCACCACCACCATCAGTTCTGATGCAATCATTGCTGTTATGTGACCAGGGGTCAGCCCCACCGAGGACAGGGAACTCACCACCAGTGTGGAGCGCCGGGAAGCAGGCTTGTCACAGCAGCCAGATGGGCATGTTTCCAGACACCCTCATGCCTTGAGGCTGCTGATCATGGCAGTTGAACCCCCCCAGTCATCTACAGGCCTCCACCATGAGTGACACCAGCTGCTCTGTTCACCCCCCCATGCAGCCTGGCTGCCTCCAAGCCACAGGCCCCAGTGGAGGCCTTCATCTGTACGATGACCTCCCATCACCCTCCAGGCACTGTGAAGATGGGGGACAGAGAGGCGGGGAGATTGGCAGGTCCCATAGCTAGTGCATAAAGGCTTAACCCAAAGTCCCAATCACAGCAGAGAAGGCATCTGGAGCAGCCACCACATAGCCAGCCAGATACACATTCCTCACAGCCCTGTGAAAGAGGCTTGCTGCTCTCATTTTACTGCAGAAAAGTGAGTCCGTGTGGTGGTACATGCCTGTAATCCCAGCTGCTCAGGAGGCAAAGGGAGGAGGATCACAGGTGGAGGCTAGCCCAGACAAAAGTAGTAAGACTCTTATCTCAAAAGGAAAGGCTTGAAAAAAAGCAAGCAACTTGAAGGAAGTCGTAGGGCCAAGACTTCAAGGCAGCTCCACCACAGAGCACCCTCCTCCTGCTGGCCGGGTCACTGCCCCGGGGCCCCTGCTCGTATTTTTGGGGTGATGATCAGAGGGGACAAGGTCACCGCTGCAATGTGACTCTGCAGTGTCCCCCAAAGGATCGTTATGGGGAAGAGTGGAGAGAGGGGTGGATCCTAAGGGCCTTGATTTAATCAATGGATTCAATGGCTCCATCCTATGCTGGAGTCATAATTCACGGGAGGTGGATGCAAGCAGGAGGCGGGGCCTAGTTAGAGGAAGTAGGTCACTGGGGCAGGCCCTGGAAAGACAGATCTGGTCCTCTGCAGGTGTCTGCCTCTGCCTCCTGGTCACCACGGGGGAGCAGCGGCCACCCCAGGCTTCTGAGGCCATGTTGTCTGCCCCTACTCCAGCACCAGGCAATGGGCCCAGCCAACCTGAACTTCTGAACCATCCAGACCCAGAAGCCAAAATAAATCCTTCCTTTTTTAAGTTGTTTGTGTCGGGCCTTGTGTCTCAGTTTGCAAGGAAAGCTCTCTGGAGCCCATAGCCTTTCTGTACAGATCAGAAGCCTCGAGACCCAAAGCCAAAGGCCAGGTCGGCAGCCAGGCCAGGCTAAGGCCATGTCCAAACCTCCCAGTGGGGGACCCGGAGGACAGCTGAAATATCCTCACGCTGAAACCTGAAATCAGGTTTTGTTTTTCAAAACAGCGTTCGCTTAGTGGCCACCTTTGGGGATGTTGGGATTTTGTTTTGTTTTGTTTTGTTTAAGAAAATCAGGCTTTTATTTCCTTTTCTCCTGGATAACGGAGGAGAGTGACCAGTGTTGATTCTCCCTCCCAGTGGACTCTACGGTGGAAAATTACTACTCAGAAAACTGGCAGGACCTGGGAAGGGATGAAGCTGAGAGCTACAGAGAGCACTGGACCCGGAGTCCAGGCACCAGCGTCTTAGGGTACCAAGTCAGGCTGCTGGGCCTCTCGGGTGCCTCTCCTAACCTCTCCTTACACAGGGAGTGTGTCCTGTGGACGGGCATTCAGTGACAATACAAGGGGCCCTTGCTGCTGCGGTGGGTGCCTCCCCCGAGTCCAAGGGAAGGGAGGCCTGGTCTGTGATGCCCCAGGCTTCCAGACAGGGAAACTGCAGGTCAGAGAGGTCCCCACGCAGTCCCAAGCCACACAGCAAGAGAGGGGCTAAGCTAGCAAGCTAGGCAGGTGTCCCCCAGGAGATGGGTGAAGGGAGCCAGGGCAGCTCCAGGCAAACTTGGAGCAGACAGCCTCACTGAGGCCTGGTCATCAGAGGATTCCAACCCTCACAGGTCCACCCCAGCTCCGGGGTCACTGAGTCACCCAGCCTCGGTGTGGTACCCCATGGTGGCCTGGCATGACACAGCCTGTCCCAGCTGCCACCATGAGGCCGGGCTCAAAATCAGTGTCCCCAGGCCCCTGCAGGACCACAAGCAGAGAAAGAAGGTGGGCAGGGAGGGCGTGGCTGCTACATTCCCAGCTCTGAGCTCTGGGGCAGCTGGGTCTCCGGGAGGGTGGTTGGACAGGATGCAAAGCCCCAGGGAGGGTGTCCTTCATTCCGCCCACGGCTCCTCAGCCCTCACCTCTATGGTAGGGGCCACTCCTGCCTGGACCTTTGCCCACCCTGCCAGTGGCTAAGCCAGACTCCCCCATGCAGCCCCTCTGGCTAGTGGTCCTGAGCTACTTGATCATGTCTGCACCCCATCAGACTCAGTTTCTCTGTAGCCTTGGTCCTAGCAACCCAGGAAGGCTCCAAGCTTTTGGGAGACCCCAGATGTGGTAACCAGCCTGGCCGGAGGCGGCTGATTCAGCCCACTGCCTAATCAAGGAGGAGACATGGAGCCACTGGTCCCACACGCTGAACCTGATTACCCAGCACTGGTCCGGCTGAAACCCTCCCGGCTCACCCCTGCAGAGGCTGCCTCCTGTGATCTCCCTCAGTGATACCTGCCGAGAATTCCCACACACACATCATACACCAGCAAATGCCCCTGGCCACTAGCTGGATCCCACCCTTACTCCCAGGTTTAGAAGAAGCAGAAGGCACCAGCATGGCAGGCCTCGGCTTCCAGCCCAGAGCTCAAGGGCGCTGGGATCAAAGTATCCTCCCTCCTTAAGTGCTCCATTTTATAGACGAGAAAATTGAGATCCAGAGAGCCTTTGACTCATCCAAGGCCCATCGTTAGTGGGTGCAGCCAGGGTTAAGGCTCAGACAGCCAGCACTGGGACCCTTAGCCATTAGAACTGCCTCCCCTCACCACCAGCAGTGCCAAGAACGGAATGGGAGGGTATTGGCAGAACTGTGCCAGGCAGCTCCATCGGCTCCCCGTGGCGGTGCCTAGGAGTGGTCTGTCGTGACTCTATCCTCCTCGGGGTCAGAGTGACACCAGGTAGAGGTCTGTGACTTCTCCAGAGCCACACAGCTACAAGGGGGCGTGGCAGGGTTGGGGCCCTGGGCTATGTCACAGGCTCCTGGGCAGAAGACAACAAGAGACCACAGAAGTTTACCAGGCCGTCTCATCTAGAGCAAAGGGTCTTAGGGAAATGCCATCCTCCTCGTGGAAGGCCTGTGGGGGTTCTCCCCTCCCCCTCCCGTGCTGGTCTCCCCTTTTTTCCAGCCATCAAAGCAAAGGAGCGCGAGGTCACTTACTCTGTCTGGGGTGGTGCAGCGGCCTGGTCCAAGTCTGTGGAGAAGGGCAGAGAGGAAAAGCTCGTCAGATGAGGGGGCTGGGCCCCTCAATTCAGCCTTTTCCCGCCCCCTTCCCCGCCTCCTGAGGGCGGCTGGGCTCCTGCCCTTGGCCAACCTCTGCTCCTGACGAAGCCATCCTACCTGTCAGGCCTGTGCCACCCTGCCCTCAGGGCCTACATCCCAAACTCCAGCCTGCCTGCCTGGGCGCCGGGACTCCCCCATCCCCAGCTCCTTGCGGAGGAGGCTCTGTCCCCAGCCTGCAGGAAGTTCCGGCCAGTCTGGTCCCTAGAGTCTCTCCCACATGACAGAATAGAAAAGTCCAGCGGCTGCCATGGACCAACCACCAGATTCATCAGGGCCCTTCCAGCGCCCAGAGCTAGGAGGGAGAGGGGGCTGGAAAACTTGCCTCTCTGGTGGGCTGGCGGGACGGGGGGGGGGGAGGGGGGGGGAGGGGGGGCTGGGGAAGGGTAAGAGAGGTTCTGGGCAGTGGCCAGGAGGGTAGCCAAGACACAGCTCTGGGTAGAAAGTGTCTCCACAGCAAAGCCAGGCCACACTCTTCCATCTATAACACGCAGGGCGCCAGATGTTGCAGGAATGTTAGACATCCCATTCCCAGGGGAAGCCTGGAATGCAGTCCAGTCCCACTTCCTGGGGACAGCATTGGGGCCACAGCCCTCCCCCATCCCCCACCCCCCGGTGAAAAGCCTGCTCTTCCCCCAGCTCTCTGGCTGAAATTGAAAAAATAAAATAAAACACCCTTACCTGTGCCAGAGACGGGGTCAAAGCTGATCAGCGGGAGGTCTGTGTCCCCCGTGGGGGCAAGGCTGGCGTCCTCTTCATCACTGTCATCGAATTCAAAGGCCTCTCCAGAATCCTCAGGCTCAGGGGAGGGACCTATGTTTCCAGGTCCCAGAAGATCTCCTGGAGGAGAGCAAAGTGAGGGTCAAGGAGTGGGCAAGGGAGAGGAGCAGTCATGGCTGGCAGCAGCCAGAGGTAGTGATCCTGTGGGTCTGAGGACAGGGGGCATGGGGCCCTTCTCGGGGATGAGGTTAAATCTGCTCAAGCCAGGCAGCTCTGCTGTGCTACTATGGTGTCCAGGGGGTTGGGTTAGTCTCTGAGCAGGTGACAGGGAAGGATGAAGAGGGAGCAAGCTCCAAGGGTGAGCGAGCGCAGGATTTGAACTGATGCCTTTCCCCCCATTATTTTCCAATTCTGGTTTTGTGAGTGAGAAGCATTTTTCTTTCTATTCTATTCTGCTCTATTCTGTTCCCCTTGCCATCTTGCTTGGCTGGCATTTCAGCCACACCTTCAGATCTGGCTTTTTGCTGGTTAATTGGAGATAAAAAGTCTCACAGACTTTTCTGCTCAGGCTGACTTCAAACCTCAGTCTTCCTATCTCATCCTCCAGAGTAGCTAGATTACAGGCATGAGCCACCAGCACCTGGCCACAAGAAGCCTTTTAAAATACAACTAGTTATATATGTGAGTGTGGGCATACACCTTCATAAGTGCTTGGTGCTAATGTGTTGGTGTGCTTTGTGCAGGTGTGAATGAACATAGACTGGCATGTCCTACACGTGCACTTGGGCCAGATTCTATGGCTTGAAATCCAGCTGCCTGGAAATGCTTGGGGCTTAAAGACAAACATCAAGCAGGTACCAGGATAGGACTGGCTGAGCCAGGGCTCCCAGTTCCAAAATGTCTTCCCCACGACCTTGATTTCTCTGCTTCCCTCCTGGGGATCCCCTCCATGGTGTGTCTTCCTCCTCCTTGTCCTTCATAGGACTAACCCCAGCACAGGAACAATGTACTCCTCCCCTCCCAACCAGCCCCTCCTTTTCTTCATTCACTCCTTGGGCACGAATGCTATGAGCTTCCGGAAGTGGCTTAAGCTTTGACAGTCTGGCCCCTGGCAACAAATTGACAAAGGAAATAGAGGGAGAGGGAAGTTGGATGTACCGTGTTCAAATTACCAACCCACTGGAGGCTCACAAAATCAACCAGAGGTTCCCACAACATTTGGGAGTTGGTTTGAATTGCTTGCTTCAGGCTGGCTGGGTATGGTGGCACCCACCTGCAATCCCAGCACTCAAGAGGGTGAGGCAAGAAGATGATGAATTCAAGGCCAGCTTGGGCCACACAGTGAGACCCTGTCTCAAAAAAAAAGTCAGAAAAAAATCACTTGCTTCAAATATTTAAAAATACTGTGGAATAAACCAAGTGTCTGCAGCTTACAACTGTAATCCTAGTTACTCAAGAGGCAGAGATCTGAGGATCAAAGTTTGAAGCCAGTCTGGGCAGAAAATTTCATAAGATTTCAGCTCCAAAGTTACCAGCAAAACTCTAGGCTGAAGTCATGGCACAAGCAGAAAAACACCAGCTGAGCAAACAAGATGAATGGGAATGCAAGATCCTGAGTTCAAGCTACTGTACTAGCATGCATGCATAGATTATACCTAATATATAAAATATATAATTACAGGATATATATTGTGCAATGATATTTACCCTATCACAACTTTGCTATTGTTTTTGATACTTGTGTCAAGTACATACACGCGATATGTGGATTCACATCCATGCGTGTGAGTACATAGAACTCCTGCTCTCTCCTTTGTCCCTCTACTCAATCACTAGTTTCCTTCCTGGGCTGGCTTTGAACCATGATCCTCATATCTCAGCCTCCTGAGTAATTAGGACTACCGGTGTGAGGCACCAGGGGCCCAGCTCTACCTTCTTTTTCCTTCCTTTCTTCCCTCCCTCCTTCCTTCGTGTGTGTGTGTGTGTGTGTGTGTGTGTGTGTGTGTTCGTGCGTGGGTGCGTGGGTACGTGCACACCAATACTGAGGCTTGAACTCAGGGCCTAAGCACTGCCCCTTAGCTTTTTCATTCAAAGCCAGTCTCTATCACTTGAGCCTCCCCCTCTACTTCCAGCTTTTTAGTATTTATTTGGAGATAAAGATTTTCCTGCCTGTGCTGACGTTGAACTGAGACCCTAAGATCTTAGTCCCCTCAGTAACTAGGATTACAAGATGAACCGCTAGGGTCTGGTGCGCGTGCTTGCTTGCTTGCTTGCTTCAGAACTAGGGTTTGAACTCACAGCCTCAGAGAAGCATTCATTCTACCACATCAGCCGCCCTCCCGGCCCTTTTATGGATTTAGTTTTTTGTTTAAATCGAGTCACATTTTATAGGAGGTTTTGTGGGGTTGGTTTTGTTGTTGTTGTTGTTTTGGTTTGGTCTTTTTGCTTTTTTGCCTAGGCCAACCTGGACCAGGAGCCTCCTACTGGTGCCTCCCGGGCGGCTGGGCTGACAGGCATGAGCCACTACACCCAGCTGACACTTGTTCTTATAAATACTGGCATCAGTGACGCTACTTTAGGGATATGAGACACGGGTCATCAGGGCTGACCTCACCCCTGGGTGCCCTCCATCCTGGCCCCTGTGGTGAATGACTCCACTGGGCGGGGGAAGGAAAGAGAGAGAGCATCTGGATGCTAGTGACTGAGGTCAGGGCACCTGGCTCTGCTTAGTCCATCCCCCCCTCCCGCCCCCCCCCGGCCCCCCGCTGTCCCGCACATTAGCTAGCTGCATGGTCACCCAGGGGGTCTTTGAGGCAGTAACAACAGCCGTGATCACCTCCCAGGGCCGTGGGGAGGAAGGGCAGCCAGTGTCCCCAAGCACCTGGAGCAGGTAGTACCCGCCCGCTGATGGACAGCGCCACCCCGATTACTATTGCCACTGTCATCCATCATCTCTCCAGAATCCTCACTGGGTTATAATTATTGTTACCACAGCCTGGCCGGAGCTGGAGCTCTGCCCCACCCCTCTCCAGCCCACCCTGCCTCTCCCCAAACAGTGCCGGGTGAGACTACACACATAGCTTAAGCTGCATCATCCACATCACCCACATGCCTGCCCACCAGCAGCTGCAGCCCCTGGACCAGGAGGCCCAGGGGAAAGTGGTGCAGGCGTGGCCCAGGGGTGTCCAGGAGCTCCCAGTGGGCCAGGGAGCAAACCCCGTTAACACTGAGGCAACTGAGTCAGGGTCTGGGGCTCTGTTCCTCAGGGGTTTGGCAAGACAACAGGAAGTCTCACGGGGTCAGGAGATAGCCAGAGGGCCTGGTCTAATCAGGTGACCCCAGCCAGCAAAGCTAGAAAGCATCCATCTGCAGTTTGATTGTTTCCTGCCTTCCCACATTGGCCCTCTTGGAGGAGAAGAGAAAGGGGGGCAGGGCACCCCTGCCACGTTCCCCCCCACCCACCCACCCCCAACAACAGGGGCTAGAAAGGACTATTCAGGACCTGAGCATGACAGGACAGGAGATGTCCTTTCCTCCTGCAATCAGCTGGCCACCCATCCACCAAGCAATCAAACCCAGATTCCTATCAGAAGGAACGATCAGGTGGCCCAGCCCAGGGTAATTGGGAGCTGGGCCCTTCCTAACCCCCTGGACAGGTGGCAGGACTGGAGAGAGACACTCCCCCCTTTGAAGTTCCTGGACACGCCCTGTCCTGGGGAGAGGAGCCCTGGGAGGCTGCCCCTGGTCAGGGCAAAGAGGCCCTGCTAAGCACCCTCCACACTTCAGAAGGGAGCACCCTGGTAAGAAGGGGTGTCTCTACTGGGGCTCAGGGCCCACACCTCACCATCTCGTTCACTGGTTGACATAGTCCCGTGACAGCAGGGACAGGTTGTTATTATTACGCTCACATTATTGGTGATGAGGCCAGGCTGTGGAGACACTGAGTCTCTTACATAAGCACACAGGGTAAGTGGCAGGGATCCATGTCAGGTTGGGCGGTGACAAAGCCCTGGCTCAGAGGGCCTGACTCCTCTCCAGAAGGGGTGGGGTCGCCTCTTCCCCCAGGGACAGCTCTGCCCACCCCTTTACCCCCCACCCCCCAGGCAGAGCCCGGATGTCACCTGCAAAATCTGGGGCTATGGTTTCCAAACAAAATACAGGGAGCTGGATTGGATTTCAGATAAACAATGAATAATTTTGTTAGTATAAGTATGTTTTGTTTTTTTCTTTTTTTTAATCTGGATGGTTTTTTGTTTTTAGGGATTTTTTTTTCCTTTTCTCACCCTTGGACTGCCTGATGAGCCAACCCTTTCCCCCTCAACCTCCCTCCCTCCCTTAATTTATAAGCTTCAAACTGTCATCCATGCAGGCAACAGGTGCAGGGGACAGGTAGAGGACCCAGGTGCCTGCCAAGGAGGAAGTTATTCCAGTTTGTTCACAAGGAACCAGCTTCCCCCCTCCCCACCTCCACCCCTCCTTGAGAAGGGCCAGCAGGGAGGAGAGTTGGAGAGCTTCGGTACAGTACCTACGGCAGGCTGTGGAGGAGGCTTGAAGGAAGCCATCAGACAACAAAGTCCAGCTCAGACCGGGGCGTCCCTGCAGCAGACCTGTGGAAACAAGGCCAGAAAAGCAGTTAACGGGGCTTCCGGCCAAAGTGCAAGCCACAGAGGGGCCTGGGCGCTGGGACTGGGTGCTCTTACACTCTTCCCAGAAGTCCCGGGGTGCGGGGCAGCCTGAAAGGATCCAGCCTTCACCCAGCATCAATCATTAACCCGTAAAGGAACTTGGAGCTGTGTGGCCCAAACCCTCATCTTCCCAGAATGCACTGCTGCCAGACCCCGCCTTTGCCTAGTGCCCAAAAGGCTGACAGGAGCCTGGGTCCAGCCAGTTCTTTCCTGTTCCCTGCCGAATCAGAGGAAGCTCCAGTCCCCTCCAGCCTGGGATTCACGGTCAGGTTCCCACGGCCTACATTCCAGAAGCTGGATGGTGGACAAAGCTGTACACTTCTTCCTCCTGGGGTCCTGGTCACCCCAGATTTCAGCAGGTCCCTGTGACCCTGCTGGAAGGCCCCCACAGGACTGGCACCAGCTGGTGAGGGGCCCTTGGCCTTGGCACTCATGAGTAGAAAGGAAAGGGTCACAGGGGCAGAGGAGTCAGGGCAGAATGCAGTGTTGTCCTGAGCCGGAGTGGCTGCCCTGGCCCCAGGTGGCCCAGGTGATACGCCCCACCTCATGTGGGGCCCAGGAGCAGCAGGCCAGACTCTTGGGGGCTTCCTGGGTCCAGAAGTGGCCTTCCCAGAAGACCCTACTGCCACCTCCACCTGCAGGATGAGCATCTACTCCTTCCCATGCAGACGGGGCAGCATACCCTGGGATCCAGCCTGCCCCTGCCACCAACTGCCTGTGCCACTCTTTCCACTCCTAAAGCCTTTCTTTGTGCTAACCAGAAGGAATGCAAGTGGCAATTTGTGTGTGTGTGTGTGTGTGTGTGTGTGTGTGTGTGTGTGTGTGCATGTGTGCCAGTGCTAGGGCTTAGACTCAGGGTCTGGGCTCTATCCCTTGGCTTTTTTGCTCAAGGCTAGTACTCTACCATTTGAGCCACAGCCCCACTTCTAGCATTTGGCTGGCTAATTGAAGATAAGGGTCACATGGGATTCCTGCTCTTCTGGCTTCAGGCCACAGTCCTCAGATCTCAGCTTCCTGAGTAGCTAGCTAGAATTACAGGCCTGAGCCACCCGTGCCAGGCTTAGACAGAATTTTAATAAGGGTACACATCCACATATCACCTTCTACAATATCTAAAGCACTCCACAGTCGTTAACAAATGTGAATCTAAATGGTCAATGAGGGAACAAGGCCCAGGCTGGTTAAGTCACTTGTCCAAGAGCTCACAGCTAGGAAGAGGCAGTACTGGAACCCACAAGCCTACGGCTGTGCCCACTGCGTTATTATCCCTGTTGTCCAGGCCTCTCAAAACTCAAATAATACACACTGAAAAAAATCAAAAGTCCTTCCTTCTACCCCAGAAATGATCCTTGTTCCTGGTTTCTTAAGAATCCCGTCAGAACCCATCCAGTGTTTACCAGCATGCATAGCTGGTACCGTTGACCCCTCCCCCTCCTTGTGCACCAAGTTTCCGTTGCCCACAGCCAACCGCCATCATTCCCAGTCCCTCGGACCTTCCTGCAACACCCTGGACAGCCACCAGCCTTCTCCATATCACAGGGGCACCCCAAGAAGGGACACACAGCACAGTGAGGTATTTTGAATGGCGGGGATCAGCTACAATCATATTTTATTACAGTGTATTATATTCATTGTTCTATCTTATCATGGCTCAGGATTAACAATCTCCTACTGTGTCTATTAACTTGATCATCAGCATGATTATAGTAGCATCTGCTTAGGGTTCAGGACCATCAGCGAGCTCTCAGTGGTCCCTGTGGATGACGGATGAGTGTTCCAAAGGTGAGGAGGAGGAGGAGGAGGCCCTCAGACACAGCCAGACAGAGGAGAGCAAGGGAGGAGCCAGGTTCTGTGCTACAGGTGTCCCAGTGGGTGGAGTTCAGATAAAGGTGTAGCAAGAGGTGAGCAATGCGTGGGAAGTGACAGAGGCCAGTTGGGTAGTACAGGATAATGCTGAGTTCTTTTCTTCTTTTTTTTTTTTTTTTTTCCGGGCCTGGGGCTTGAACTCAGAGCCTGAGCTCTGTCCCTGAGCCTCTCTATGCTCAAGGCTAGCACTCTACCTCTGGCTTTTTCTCTTTATGTGGTACTGAGTAGTCCAACCCAGGGCTTCGTGCATGCTAGGCAAGCACTCTACCACTAAGCCACATTCCCAACTCATGCTGGGTTCTTTTGTGTATGATGGTGGTCAGGCTTGAACTCAGGGCCTCGAAATCTTACTTAGCTTTTTCCACTTAAGGCTACAGCTCTACCACTTGAGCCACATCTCCACTTCTGACTTATTGCTAGTTAACTGAAGATAAGAATCTCTCTGATTTCTCTGTGCATCGGCTGCTTTTGAACAGAGATCCTCAGATCTCAGCCTCCTGAGTAGCTGGTATCATGAGCCACCAGTGCCCAGCAATGCTAGGTTTTTTAATGAATGTCTCTACCTAGAGTCCCTGCTGCCCCTTGAGTAGGGCCAGCACTGTTTTTTGCCCTGCTAGTCCAAGCGCAGGTCAGCTTCTTTCAGTAGAGCAGAAGCTCCAGCACCTACAGAATGCAAAGTAACAGCCCGCTTGCATGGCCTGGGTACCACCAGGCATGAGGCCTGTCAGACTTCATCCCAGCCTGAATGCGGGGCTGGCTTCTGGGAGGGGAGAGTTTCCTGCAGGTGGCACCAGCCCAAGGGACCATAGGGCCTCGCCCCTCCCCTGGGCCCCAAGCACAGGGCCACAGGAGGGCTTCCTGAGTTGGAAATGGTGGAGACAACTCTAACCTCCTTTCCTCCCTGCAGGGAAGTGGGGGAGAGCCCTCCCCAGAGAGTGGGCAAGCTTAGTCAATGGCTAGAATCTCAGACAATGAGGGCTCTTGTCCTCAGCCCAGAGTAGGTGACCCCCTCTACCCCCACCCCGGGACAGTGCCTGGTCAATAGTCCTCAGGGGAAGTGAAGGGCAGCTCCCTCAGGAGGCCTCTATGGGAAGGGGCCGCCCCTCTGCCTGGCAGAGGGGACCCTGGGGGTTGTTGCCTGGGAAACCAGAGCCAGCTCCAAGAAGCCTCTGGACCCAGCTAGAGTGGAAAGCCCATAGCTACCAGGCCAGGGTCTCGGGGCCCCGCCCCCTCCAGCCCCAGACATGTTAACCCCTTTGTCCCTGGGACCCAGCAAACAGTGAGAAAAGCTGGAATGTGTAGGAAAAGTCTCTAGCTGTCTGAAGTCCTCCGCTGGACAGTTCCACTCTACATACTGACAGAGACAGGGACAGGGGCCAGAGACTAAGAAGCAAGAGGGCCCAAGTTCTTGTTTCCAGGTGACAAACCCCAGAGACTAGCAGGTACAGGCTCCACAGTGAGGATCGTGGTCAGACTTCAGTGGGTTGGGCGTGCATGCAAAGCCTTGCTCCATGCATGCACATTTGGATGTACGCCATTTGTGTGGGGAAAAATAGGGGTGTATGTATATGTGTGTGTGTGCATGTGTGTACACACGCACCCGTGCATGGGGGGAAGGGGCGCAGGGAGTCAGAGACTCCCAAGGTGGGGAGGAATGTAGATGGTAATGGAATTGACCCTTCTGACACAGCACACGCTCAGGTGGGCTCAACTCCTTCCTCCACGCCTCCCCCTCTCAGGGCCCTGTGGAACAGGGAGCCTCCAATGTGTCCCCCTCCTCAGGGAGACCTCCCCTCAGTCCCTGGCTCCTGCTCAACCTGCAGATTCCAAGGGCTGATCTCTGCAACCACAGAAGTCAGGTTTGGTCCAGGAGATAGCTGTGCACAGGTGGACTTCAGAGATGTCCACACACCGGGGACCCCATGTGTCCCCCACAACCCCACAGATAGCAAGGAATCTGGAGCTGGATATGTTCTGGCCTATGATAGCACACTTGCTCAGAGTTCCCTTCTCTTTCTTTCTCTTTTTTTCTTTCTTTTTTTTTCTTTGTATACCAGCACTCGGGCTTGAACTCAGGGCCTGGGCACTGGTCCCTAAGCTTTTTTTTTTTTTTTTTTTGGGGGGGGGGTCCAGTCCTGGGGCCTGAACTCTGGGTCTGGGCGCTCTTCAGCTCAAGGCTAGCGCTCTACCACTTGAGCCACAGTGCCACTTCCAGCTTTTTTCCTTTTTGCTTATGTGGTGCTGAGGAATCAAACCCAGGGCCTCATGCACGCAAGGCAAGTGCTCTACCACTGAACCACCTTCCTAGCCCCATCCCTAAGCTTTTGTGCTCAAGGTTAGCACTCTACGACTTGAGCCACAGCTCCACTTCTGGCTTATTGATAGTTAATTGGAAATAAGAATCTCACATATATTTCTGCCTGGAGTGATTTTGAACTGAGATCCTCATTATCCCAGCCTCCTGGGTAGCTAGGATTACAGGCATGAGCAATGGTGCCTGGTCTGGTTCCCTTGTTGATGGGACCATTTGAAGCACAGCTCCTTTCCTGGCCTCTGTGTGGATATGCCAGCAGGGGATGGAACTTGGGGCAGAGGGAGGAATGAGGGCATTTGTTATGGGATAAACATGGCTGCTGAGCAGAGGCTAAGCCCATCAGTGGACACCCCAGTTCATCTCTACTGGACCATCCCCCACAAATACATCACTGTTCATCTTAAAAATACAGAAATAGGGCTGGGAAGGTGGCTCAGTGGTAGAGCGCTTGCCTTGCATGCCTGAGGCCCTGGGTTCGATTCCCCAGCACCACATAAGCAAAAAGAAAAAAAAAAGCTGGAAGTGGCGCTGTGGCTCAAGTGGTAGAGCACTAGCCTTGAGCTGAAGAGCTGAGGGACAGTGCTCAGGCCCTGAGTTCAGGCCCCATGACCAGACCCAAAAAAAAAAAAAAATACAGAAATAACAACAACAACAACAAAAAAAAAAAAAAACCATAGAAACCTTGCTGGGTGCCAGTGGCTCATACCTATAATCCTAGCTACTCAGGAGGCTAAGACTTGAG